TGAAAGCTAAAGTAATACAGTGTTTATGTGGTTTTATTACGTATAGGAAGCTGAAGTAATACAGTGTTTGTATGGTTTTACGTCGTTATATACAATGTGTGTAGAAAACTAAAGTAATACAGTGTTTATGTGGTTTTATTACGTATAGGAAGCTGAAGTAATACAGTGTTTGTGTGGTTTTACATCGTTATATATAATGTGTTGAAAGCTAAAGTAATACACTGTTTATGTGGTTTTATTACGTATAGGAAGCTGAAGTAATACAGTGTTTGTGTGGTTTTATTACGTATAGGAAGCTGAAGTAATACAGTGTTTGTGTGTTTTTTTTTAATTTTTCAGTTAAGAAGAGAAATGATCAACAGAAACTTTGGATCAAAACAAATTAACGTGAAACTCCATCAAGATGGAATGGTGAGTAACAAATTAACGTGAAACTCCATCAAGATGGAATGGTGAGTAACAAATTAACGTGAAACTCCATCAAGATGGAATGGTGAGTAACAAATTAACGTGAAACTCCATCAAGATGGAATGGTGAGTCACAAATTAACGTGAAACTCCATCAAGATGGAATGGTGAGTAACAAATTAACGTGAAACTCCATCAAGATGGAATGGTGAGTAACAAATCAACGTGAAACTCCATCAAGATGGAATGGTGAGTAACAAATTAACGTGAAACTCCATCAAGATGGAATGGTGAGTACGTATGAAAGAGATTATTTAATTACATCGTTCGCTCGTGTTTTCTTTCCTCAGAATTTCAGGGCGGCGTCAAAACGTCTGACAACGTAACTTTTCAAGTAACTTTGAGTGGTAACTCAAGACATCACACGTGTTTGTTGTTTAGAATTATAGATCGTTCTGGTTTTAATGTGAAGGAAACCGCAACATTTTTCAATAGGATTGGAGGTTCGTGTCCTTAATGCAGAAAGGTAAGCTGAATTGGTAGTTTAAGGTAGCGTATCGTCAAATTTAATCTTGATAAAAGTGATGAAAACAGTGTAGGATTTATAACATTCTTATTCATCACAAACACACTTCATCGATGTGTGAATTGAGATAACGGAAGAGTTTTCAAGTAAGAGTAAACGTATTTTACTGATGTGTGAATTGAGATCAGGGTAGAGTTTTCAAGTAAGAGTAAACATATTTCACTGATGTGTGAATATAAGTGTGAATCGAGATCAGGGTAGAGTTTTCAAGTAAGAGTAAACGTATTTCACTGATGTGTGAATATAAGTGTGAATCGAGATCAGGGAACACTTATATTCACACATCAGTGAAATACGTTTACTCTTACTTGAAAACTCGAATCGAGATCAGGGTAGAGTTTTCAAGTAAGAGTAAACGTATTTCACTGATGTGTGAATATAAGTGTGAATCCAGATCAGGGTAGAGTTTTCAAGTAAGAAGATAGAGTAAACACGTTTCAGCGATGTGTAAAACTACTCCAAGTGAATATTATTACACTTATTATTCATATCTTAATTTTATTCTTGAGTGAACTAATTGTATCTAAGTAGCAGCTTGAGGCGAGAAGTTTTCCTGACCGCAAACATTACATTTGCAGAAATATTTGTTTTAAGTTTTTTATTTCAGTTTATTAACTGTCAATTTTAATTACTAATTAGGTAACGTTTTAATGAAATTTATCGTTCCATTTGCGATATATTACAGAACACACAGTTAGTTTATTTAAACGCGTGTTGTAACAATATCTACAAAACAAAGAAGACTTTACAAAACCACGCGATAAACAACAATAAAAAACGTGATCTTTCACACGAGTGTAAAGGATTCTGTCATCCAAATGGTGATGTCTTTTTTACAGCAGAATATTGTCTTTAACCATACTCGTACTAGTACCATCTGTGAGGAACTGTAAACACGTACATTGATCTCTCTACTAAAATAGATTATATTCCCGACTCCACTTCTGCATCTGATCGACCAAGATCCAAGAACATTTCCAATGTCGTCAATCTGTCATCTGAAACTCAACACAAACTTCCCAGTGAAGGTCTTAATTTTTCTCCTACCCCTAAAAATAGAAATAATTTCAACTCACAGTTGAAAGGAAAAGAACCTTCTGGTCACCCACAGCCAAGAGGGAATCACTGCAGTTGAAAATGTAGGAATTCAAGCCATTAACTCCGACTCAGAAGTACGAAACAATCTCCCCTATAGTGAACGTACTGTTCTAATTTCGCTGAAACATGAAAATGAAATTATTATTAAAGCAGCTGATGAGGGCGGCGCCATTGTCAGTCAAGAAGATAAGTCAGACTACATCAACGAGGCTTACCGATAACTTAATGACACAAACCGCTATAAAAAAGGTAGATTAGGACCTCAGACCGCATTTGTTAAAGTTATCGATAATACGCTATGTAGTTTATAGAAAATCCAACATATCGGTCATGTTCAACTAAACACGCAGTTCCTGGTCGCTTTTACACGTTACCAAAAAATACACAAACCCAACAATACTGGTCGACCTATTTCTAATTGTGGTATGCCTTCTGAAACTTATCTGCTTACGTTGATCACCACATTAAAGATACCCCCCCCCACCCACACACACACACA